AGTGGACGAGTACAAAGGGTTGTTCAGCATTGAGCCCTTTTTCGCGTAGGCGTGATTACAGCAGATCGAGCGAGTACAAGTGCTCGATGGGGTTTCTGCTGCTGTGTGTGGGGATCGTGAAGTTGAACATTTGCTTCATGAGGGCTTGTTTCGAGCCCTGCGACTCCGGATCGTAGATTTTGTCGAGTTCCGCGAGGATCTCGTTTGCGGTCTCGCATTTGTTCACGATCGCCTTGTCGGCTTCTCTGACGATGGCAGTGGTCACAAAATGGAACGCTTGGAGGCCCCTCTGGACCTCGTCGCTGGTGTATTGGAGGCGGTACAGCTCCGAGCTTGGCACGTTTGGGTTGCCGACAGGTGCATGTCTCTCGTTGTTGCCGATCAATTGGCCGTCCAGTCCTACAGTCTTGGCCGCTTGGATAAACGATTTTCGCCACGAATCAAATCCGTGGCTACGGCTTTTTCCGTCTAGAAGCGAGGCATTGACCGTCACTCTCTTCATGTGGCTACTGCTGTAGCCGTCGAGGAATCCTCCATTTCCTCGAATCACGGGTATCTCACCTGGGGGGTTTAACCCCCTCGCTTCCCCGTAGTCCGGTCCTATGCCCGGGCCCACTCCGGCTGGTCCAACAGGGTTCCCTCCCGATCTGCTGGCCCAGCCGCCTTCTAGCAGCTGCCGTGGTCCTTGTCCATAATCTCTCGCTTGCTGCTGGAGAAATCCCCCGCCTCTGCCAGGCGGCTGCAGGGGCTCTTGTTGGCCTTCGGTGGCGGCAACCCAGCCGCCACAACTGGCTGCATCCGCCACGACGCTGCCAGGCTCCTTCTCCTTGNAATGGCAGTGGTCACAAAATGGAACGCTTGGAGGCCCCTCTGGACCTCGTGGCTGGTGTATTGGAGGCGGGNGCGATTTTCTCCACGAGTCATACCCATGGCCGCGACTCTCCCCTTCGAGAGGCCGGGCATTGACTGTTACTCTCTTCGTGTGGCCNTGACTGTTACTCTCTTCATGTGGCTACTGCTGTGGCCGTCGAGGAATTCTCCATTTCCTCGAATCACGGGTACCTCACCTGGGGGTTTTGACCCCCTCGCTTCTCCGTAGTCCGGTCCTATGCCCGGGCCCACTCCGGCTGGTCCAACAGGGTTCCCTCCCGATCTGCTGGCCCAGCCGCCTTCTAGCAGCTGCCGTGGTCCTTGTCCATAATCTCTCGCTTGCTGCTGGAGAAATCCCCCGCCTCTGCCAGNATCTCTCGCTTGCTGCTGGAGAAATCCCCCGCCTCCGCCGTGCGGCTGCATGCGCCCTTGGCTTTCGGGGGCAGTAACCCAGCCGCCCCTGCTGGCTGCATCCGCCACGACGCTGCCAGGCTCCTTCTACTTCACCGACTCCTCCACCAGGGCCGCCAATCGCGAAATCTGCAGTTGCGAACTTGCAAGCTTCGCATCGCCGCCCTCCTGCACCGGCGGGCGGATCTGTTCTCCGCTCGCAGCAGCGCGCTCTTCGTCTCCAGCAGAGCTCATCCCGATGTGGCTTCCCTCGAGGGGCAAAA